ACTTAGGTCCATTATCAGTTGCGACTTCCTACGGGATTCCATGACATGCAAATATTGACTTTAACGTGGTGACAGTCGTTTTGCTTGATTTGTCTTGTAGTAGCACGATTTCAGGGTATTTTGAATAGTAATCTACACCATGGGTGTGACGGAATGGCATGCGGAAGAAGCGGTTCCTTGCTGTTTGATTTGCGGTATTAATTGCACACTGCACATTTTGACATGATTTGTTCTTTGTCATGGTTCATTCTAGGCCAAAATAGAATTTGACGTGCTCTCTGTTTTGTCTTGACAATACCCAGGTCAGCTCCGTGAAGTTTTTCTAACATTTCACGGCGAAGAGATTGTGGAATAATCAATCGCTGGTTTTTGTACAACAGACCATTGATTTCTGTTAGTTCATCGCGACAATTCCAGTATTTGCTAATATCACGTTCCACATCCTCCTGGATGTCTGGCCAACCATTGTTTATGGTGTTCACAAGTTTCTGTAAACTAGTGTCTGAGGCAGTTTCGCGTTTCAATTCAGCTAGTTTCTCGGTTGAAACAGGCAATTGTTCCTCTAGATAGTTCACATCTAGTTCCTCGTCGACTAACGATTCTGTCGTTTCATTCAGATACGCTCGGGATAACGCGTCGGATATATACAATTCCTATCCCAGTTTATACACTAGTGTCAGATCATTGGACAAAGAAAAATAATGCCCCACATTCAGTATTTTGTCATGGACAACAATTATCTCTAGCTAGCATTGGATACAAAATCATTTGTTTCCTTCATTGCTTTCCAATTTTTTTTTTTTTTTTTTTTTCGTCTTTGAAATATGCACTATGAAAAGGTTTTCCTACCACAATTCAGATGGAAAACAAGCACACATCAATGAAGTTTGACATATTTTGTGCTTAACAATGTGGTTTTCATCACATTCCCTCACCAGCATACTTTGGAATTGTGATCTTTTTTCTTTTTGTAAATTTATTTCTAATTTCTCCCATACCAAGGCAATATCTGAAACATTTGTAAACTGATTATAACCTCAAATGTGCATGTTTACTTCAATGATGGATTATTCAATAAATGTTAATCTTCACATGTTCATCCTTCAGTCATTATTTTGTCGTCTTACTGAGCATCATCTGCCTTTCATAAATGTTTAGCTCAATTGACCTGAAAAGTCGTGAAGCCCTTAATGTAATCATGCTTAGTCTGTCATCATGCGCCATTGGCTGCTAAAAAAAATCTTTGTACAAATTGAGAGTTTAAAAACAGAACTTAGTAATAGTTCTTAAATCTGAACGTTGTCCAATATGTGTTGTTTTGGCAACTAAGACTTTCTAGGTATACACAGCTGTTCAAGGCTTATGTAACCGTATTTGACCTTATTACCGCACATGCTCTTGTAAGCGCACCCCATAGTTGTGTCTGAAAAAGAAGATGGGTGCGCTTACTTAAACGCCAGAAACATTCCCTGCCTTAATGATCTACCGTCCAGAAGATTTGCCACCTTTCTAACCAAAGACTGTTCCAAAGAATCCTATTTGTTGAAACAAATTACCTTGATCCCTTTTCAAAACCTGGAAGAAACAACCTCTGAATAACCAGAATGCCCAGAGTGGTCATATTTTGCTTGTAGCATGTTGGGATGAAGTTTCTTTGAATGGTTGAATTTGACCCACTTTCAAAGTCACAGTGGTCAAAAGTCTTGAAATCTTTTAAGAAACTTCTTCTGACTAACCAAAGGCCTTCAGTACTAATAGTTAACCTTTAACATGCTGGGATGAAGTTCAAACAAGTTTGTTGAAATGAAAAGTCTTGATCCACTTTCAAGGGGATGGCTGAGTGGCCTTGATTCTTAAATCAAGGTGAAATGAGTTCAAATTTCATATCTTGTATCTAATATCAGATGACCGTTAAGGCCCATGGGCCTCTTGTCATATATATTATTGATTGACAAAATTTGGAAAAGTCTTGATTTTTTTTTTTACATAAATCATAAAGCACAAATTGTCTCTTTCACATTGTCACTGGAGTGCTATGATATTTTGGCATTTTAAAGTTTAGCTCAATATTTTTTACTTTCATCAAATTTTCAGACTGCCAGCGAAGAAAGTGATTCCTTTTAAGTTCAGTGATATTATTAGTTATGTCGCCCTCACCCCCTACCAATCTGACTGAACCCCTATATTCCTGTAGGGGGTCACTAGCAAACTACATAACGAATTTATTGCACCAAGGACCCATTTAAATATATATATAATACGTCCCATCACATTTCCTGGCATCCATGTAAAAATGGCCAAGACATTCGTCCAGTCGGACTACATCGTAATCTTCAAAATCTGGGTTTTGCTGCTTTTCCACCAAATAATCTTTGAACACTTTAGCGGCCAACTTATTAGCTTTTAACGTCTTATCAGCGTTAAGTGCCAGGCATTTTTTTTTCCTTGTCTGCAGCTGTCGTCTGCCCGAACCGCCCAGCCATTTTTGATCCGAGTCAAATAGGTGCTTCGTGTAGGGGAAACAACTCGTACTAGATAATAGCAACTTCTAGGATTCACTCTAGCCAATATTCCGACACAGAACAGAATGTGAATATCGCCAATCTGTGATTTGAAATTACGAAGTGACGCCTTTCAGAGATAATGGATGGCCGCCATTGCCCCCTATATATTCAGCTGCCCCCTATAGATTTATAGGGGGCAAGCAACGTCCAATCAGATCAATGCATTCTAGTCCGAGGTGCAATAATGAATCATGGAAAGCCAAAGCAAAACTAACTAATACATGTTCCATGTTCAATTATCCTCTATTGTTTGTCATATGGGCCAAATGCCAAGAATGATATTGATTGCTACTAACATTTTTAATTTTGCATGTCTGGCCATTAAAAAAATAAAAAGGGATTCACATCAGTATTCTGTGTCCCAAGCTTCCTCCCCCTTGAAATCAGTTTATCAATATGCAACACAATTTTGATTTAATAAGACATCAATTTTGTAAATCTGATTCTAAGTTGAGGTATTTCAATCAATCGTCGGAAAACAGAAAAAAATATCCAATTTTCCTTACTCAATTCCTTTTCCCCAAAATTGATGTGAATTAATCAGTTAATTTTTTATGGCCTCATCTCTCGTCGGGGGTTGACACCAAATTTTTTTAATGATTCTCAAAAATGACGGGGAACTAAGCTTGTAACATTTTAAATCTCTGTTAGATTCAGTTGATTGTTTTTGTTGATTTAGATATTGTAACATCATTATGGATTTGAGTTTCATTAGTTGGATGTTGCGCAGTTATGGTCCCATAATTATAAAACTTCTACTTAAGTGATGTACAGATTCACATTGAAGTAATTTGAAAAATATTCCAGCTAGGATTTGAATAGGGCATTGCAGTGATAAAAGGCATCGCTTAAGGGGTATGGTTTTCAATTTCATACAAATAAATCATATTACACATAATTAGATTTGATAACAAATATAGAACTGTTTGTCACAGTTTAGTTAAGTTTGATGTATTGCTTTTGTTCAGTAACAATGGTGAAAGACTTCCACTTGCTTGCCAAATGCTTTACTCCCGTCTGCAAGTGCCATCCAGAATGGGAACAAAAGGTCCCACTTGTGGGCTCACTTGTTTCCAAGATCTGACCCCAAGGCATTAAAGGCAATAATTATCAATCTTTTGTTCTGAACAAGAAGACAGTGACTGCCAAAAAAGAGGGGTCTGGTCAGGCGCAATTTTAGCAGATATGCCAGGGTTACTATAGTTTTCATTGGCCAAAAAATTGCTTAATAATCACAGAAGGAAAACTGAGACTTTAAAAAAAATGATTTTGGAAATTATGACAGTGCCATTTTCCTGTTTTAGCTTGAATATTGTTAAATGATGTTGCTTTGCTCCAATCAATTAAACTCCAGTATCAAACTTTTGTAATGTTGAGGGCCTCACAACGCAGCCACCCGTTTTGGTGATGTAATCAACTTTCAGCTGTACATGTGGTGCCATTAACAGCTTTCATTGTGGATCGAGTATGACTAGGTTAACAAGGTTGGGCTGCATTTATACCTTGATAGTAAATTTTGAAAGTTTTAGAATTTTTTTTTTTATTTTATGATTAAATGCAAGTGTATTTCAGACAACAAAATGTTGACACTATTGTTTCACAGAATGGTTTCTTCTTCATTTACTATATATCAAACTTGTATTAATGTTATTCAAGTGGTTTTCTAGTGATTTGGTGATGCCTCATCCCATTATATTTGACTATGTAAATCTCTGCAAGCAGTTCACTTTTGTTATGTCACATTGGAATTGTATGAATCAACTGTGACCTGATAAAAAAAGAGGTGGGGAGGGGTCATAATTTGACAGATGAGATTTTGAACAAAGACAAAGGCACTAGGTCTGTTGGCCTATGTTATTATGAAGTTGGGGCTGTAGTTAAATTTCGTTACCAGTTCCAGATCTTGGGGTTTGGGTCCGTTTCAGGAAAACGTATGGGTAAGGGGAAGGCACTTAATTCAGGTTAAGTAGGCCAGGGTGTTAAAAATTTGTTTCTCCTTCATATACCATTAACAAAAAAAAAAAAAAAAAACGAAATAACATCTATAGGTGGTTACTGAAATTTGAAATTTTGGTTTACATGTATTTAACTTTATATTCTATATTACAGTGGCTCTGAAAAAGAAACCAAACACTCTGCGTATGTGGCTGGAGGTTTTGAAATCGGCAGAACAAGGCAAGGATCAGATGAAAAAAAAACATAATGACTTAATAAGATACCATTGTTTTTAACTTAGTACAATAGATATGCTGTATATTATCTTACCAAGCATAAAATAGAATGTTTGGGGTTAAAAACCTTTTGAATTTTAGTGGTTTCAAATTTTGTAATTGTCATTCAAACTTTAAATCTACAGATGTTGTCGGACCAACTTCGCAGATGGAAAATGAAAGGAGTGATGACAAACCTTAAGATGTTGTCGGACCAACTTCGCAGATGGAAAAGGAAAGGAGTGATGACACACCTTCAGATGTTGAACAACCAATTCAGCAGATGGAAAATGAAAGGAGTGATGACAAACCTTCAGTTGTTGTCGGACCAACTTCGCAGATGGAAAAGGAAAGGAGTGATGACAAACCTTCAGATGTTGTCGGACCAACTTCGCAGATGGAAAAGGAAAGGAGTGATGACAAATCTACAGATGTTGACGGACCAACTCCGCAACCAGAAACAAGGGCATGTAATGACCAAAGTCTTTCAATCAAAAGTGATGATAACAGTTCTGGTAGTATTTCCATTGAAGATGATGAGAACGATTGTGATTTTGTTCTGGATAGTGCAGAGGACTCTGATATAGATATGGAGATGGAAAATGAAGAAAGTGATGACAAATTCACAGATGTTGACCGACGAAGGAAGTGATGAAAAATCAACAGATGTTGATCAACTAGCTTGTCAACCAGGAACATCGAAATCTAATGGCCCTAACCAACCAGATATGCTATCTAAAGCGATGGAGAATGATGATAATGATATGAACATTGGTTGCACTCATGACCTTGTTGCAGAAGATCTCATTGGAAGAAATCTTCATCTCGTGTTTGAAATAACTACCATTGTTGTTTTATATGCAAAACTTTATCAACTAATATCGTCAAGCATTTGCTCACGCATAAAGATAACCAGGAAACAGAACAGCTCAAGTCACTCCAGAATGCCAAGAGTAAGGAAGCTGTACGCAAACAAGCTTTACTAAGAAATAAAGGCGACGATCTTCACAATGTCGCTTTGAAGAATGCAGGGAAAGGAGAGTTGATCATTGCAAGGAAAAAAGGCACTTTCAAATTGGATGAATATGGACCTTGACCAAATTGTCTGCAATAGGTAAAAATAGAGTTTTTTAACAGTAAACACCAGAAAGTATGCCCAGCAAGAAGAGTAAGCGAGAAGCAGATGTCCAAAGGGGAAGCACTTGTGATATCTGTGTTAATTGGTGACATCAAAGAGGGTCCATCTAGTAAGCTACTGTCTGAGGTGTATCCGATAATGACTCGAGATGAAGTCACTGCAACAGCAAAAAGTGACTCGTTGATAGTCGCATTGGGTAATAATTGGTTTAGGCGAAATCAGGGGAATAAGTTGAAAAGGAAAACTTACACGTCTTCTAGAATGAGGGGTGCAGGAAGATTGCTTCAGAATTTGAGATCTTTGAGCCAAACAAATATGCCAATGACAAACTATATTGTTCCTGCTTTGTTTGATAAAATGTGTGAAGCTGCGCTTCAATGTGCAACATTGGAAAATGATGATGAGGAAGACTTAAAATCCCCTACAGATGCAATCAAGATAGGTCATGATGTTCGCAGGCTGGCCAACATTAAACTTGGAATTGCAATATGCACAGGGAATCAAGAAATGAAAAAAGAAGCTGAAGACTAAGTCTGATGAGGCTGGACTGGACAATGCGGGTTTCAGGACTTGCACATCTGAAGGTCAAGGAGAGGAAGTTGAACCAACCACAGAAATCTCTTTCAATCCCGGAAGACTTGTCAATGTTGGGAGGTAGGGTCATCCATCAACTCAAAGGCCTTGATTTGACAAAAAAGGGGGCTGTTTTCCACCGATATAGTCGGGCTGTAGTCTTGCTTCAGGCAAGGCTGATGACGTACAACAAAAGGAGATCTGGAGAATTGGAGGCTTTAAGGTAAAATACTAAGGCAATTCCAAAACTGTTCATTTTGGATAGGGGGGGGGGGGGGGGGGGGGGGGGGGGGTTAGAAACTCATACCCATTATCTATTAATAATTTTGGCAAGATTGGATTTAAATCCACCACACAAAACGTTTTAATACCAGTGTATGGAGGGTTAAAAGGGACATAATTTTAGTTTTAACAATTTCCCAAGTTTTAGGAATTTAAATAATTATTTGAATTATTTTATCATTTTTTTATTTGAATTATTTTTACATTGCGATTTGTGTTGATATTTTCATTTCTTATTTCAGCGTTATAGAGTTTTTGTGTCTGTACTTTAGCATTCTTAATAAATTTAAGATATTAGTCTTTTTTTTCCGGGGGCTTAAAATTTTGATTTGATATACCCTTTTATAGTTTCCAATTTGTAATTTGGATGCTTTTCTTTCCGATGTGGTTATTTCATTACGTTGAATTTCACAGTTGTGTTTCAGTTTTATTATGGTAATATACCTAAACATTTTGTATTCATATTCATATTTAACATCTATTATCTGAAATTGAAATAATTGCCCCCGAAGTTCGATTTTTGCCTCTAAATCCGCCAATAGAATAATGTCCCAAAAAACCCTTATGCATTTTTCAATCTTCATTCTATCACCAGGCGGCAGTAAAATCTAAACATTTAATAAAAATTACGGAGCGCTCCCTAACAACCACCGACTGGTAACTTCATATTATAATTATATAAAAATGGTTGAAGCAAATGCGTTATGCTAATTTGAAATATAATTATAACTATTAGGAAATTGTGCTTGTACCAATTACATGTTTTATTTTGAATAATTTTGACGTGCCGTTTTTACGACATCATCTGTTGGGACGTATATACGGAAGTGGTTAATCGGAACATATCAATCCCTATAATATGGATCATCTTGAGGTCCAGGTAAGACAAGAAATAGCAAACAGATTAGAGAATAACAGTACAAAACATTGATGGTGAATTGGAAAGAACAATTGATATATTGAATCAATTTTCGGCGATAGCATCGGTCGATATATCCGAAGTATTGGAACTGTATGATTTGCGGGAACACAATGACCATGGCCAGGACCAACATCAGTCTAGTACATATACAGCCTGTACAATAATTACACTAGAGCGTTGCCAAGGGAAAAGTGGTGCACCTTATTACAAAATTCCTTATGAAACACTAGTGTCGCTGTTGAAATACAACTTTAAACTAACAGACATTGCTTCTATGTTAGGTGTAAGTGTAAAAACTATTAGAAGGAGAATGTCAGAATATGGTTTACCGTCCATACGTAGCAAATATTCAGCCATGACGTGTGTGGAGCTGGAAGAGGAAGTAAGGAAGATCATCGACGAATTTCCGAACGTCGGATATAAAACTATAGCATCCATCCTCCAATCAAAGGGACACATTGTGCAGCAGTCAAAAGTAAGGGATTTGGTAAGAAAAGTGGATCCCCTGGGTACATTATTGAGAAGAATCCACCCTCCCCCCCACAAAACTACCTCAGCACCAGCCCCCATTTCCGCCCCACTCATTCAATCTTTTCTGTATCAGGCTCTGTACGATAAAGTCATTTGTGCAGTCCACACCATAAAAAATAACAGTCATGTTTATACCTCACTGTGTAAACTGCATTATATGATTTACTTGTTTTGGTCTTAAATCAAGAAAGTATTCATAATTGGAAACTGTATAAGCAAATCATCTTAAAAAAACAACTAGCATTTAAACCCTGGTCAAATAGTAGAATTGTATGTATACAGATATTCTGATAAATTTATTGACAGTGCATTAATGTAAAAAATGATTTCACAAGACTGTCTTCAGTTCAGGAGAGGGCATTTCAATTTTCTAAGTTGAAAAAAACTTGTGCCCAATATGTATTTTTTGCTTATGGACAATAAAAGATATGTTCAAACATCAAAAAGTTATGTTGATTAAAATCGTTCAGTGATATTTTTTGGCTATTAACTATTTTTGACCATTTAAAAGGCTATGAAAATAGATGTAAAAAGCTCACCCATACAATTTAAATTACAAAAAGTAATTGTAGTCTACATGTACAGCTGTAGATGTTTCTTTCATTTATCAAATTTAGATGGAGATTTGTGATTCATGGTGGCATCGATGGTTATTCCAGACTACCAGTATTTCTACAAGTAAACACAAATAACTGTGCAGAAACAGTGTTAGCTGCATTTTTGCATGCGGTCCAAGAATATGGAACTCCAGAAAAAGTAAGAACAGACAAGGGAGGAGAAAATGTCAAAGTGGCTGAGTATATGGTAACCCAGAAAGGACCCAAAAGCTTTATTGCAGGGAGAAGTGTCCACAATCAAAGGTAAAGAGTAAATAAATTACTGGGGTAGCAGGTCATGAGTATGAAGTCATTATATTAAAGAAAAAAGAGTCACTTTATGGAAGTATTAAAAGCAAAATAGTTGGGCATTAAAATAGGTACAACAGACAACAAAAGGATGTTCACATATTTTAATGGTTGGAGTTAAGAGCCCTGATTATATAACAGTAGAAATTTTTGGGAAAGTAAGCAGTGTGGTTTCACTAAAGGCTATTATTCTCTCTACCCTTTATAAGATGTTCTATCTAATAAAACTTGTTTATCAAAATAGGATTGAAAGATTTTGGAGAGAGCTGTGGCCAGGTGTTGTTGCACTTTACTATCAAATCTTTCATCATATGGAAATAGAATCTGTGTTAGATCCTGATGATGAGACCCATCTCCTAGCTCTTCATCTAGTATTTAAGTCCAGGATTCAGCAGCATTTGGATGTCTTCAGAGATTCCTTCTGTCGGAGACCTATTCAAACAGAGGGAAATCAAACGCCTCTTCAGCTGTGGATCAGAGGACAAATACTGGATCCGTCATGGTATCAAAGTGAGGTAAAAATCAGTTATAATAGATAACCTGAATGTATCACAAGCATGAAACTGTAGCCAACTAGCTTCATCAAGAGTTTTGTGGATATAATTTTAAAATTAAAGGGAACCAGCAGATATTAGCATTAAATCTTTAATCTGAAAGGAAATACAGAGTAACCTAACCCCCACCCCCGTTGTGTGACCATGTGACATTTGAAAAAAAATATGGAGTTGTCTTCTCCTGCTGCTATGTGAATTGTTCACCGATGTTTGCCGACATCTATTATACATGGAATACTTTAAATTGAAACCATACTTGGAGATGTTATTGTTTCAGATCACTTAATTAAACTTTCATGAGAGCATTTCAAATTCAGAGTTATGGCCCTTTCAAATATTTGACTATTTGATTGACAGGGGACTTGCACTGAATTATTCAGGAATCAGAATACTGTTAAGTGTGTCCTATTCTTATTACAGAATGATCAATTGAACTTTGGAATTGACTATGATGGTCCAGTGCCAGACCATGTTGATCCTGACTGCATGGAAATACCGCCAACACCAACATTTCCTATAATGGAGGAACACCATTAGACAATATCTGAAATTACTCACAGAAACTCATGGTGTTTTGGGATAGATCTTTTCCAGGAAATGGTCCAACTCCTGAGAAGCTTTCAGTAGGCATAAATAAGTCATGGATTATTACATGGTTGATTAATCTCCTCTAAACTTTTGTAAAATTTTATGTCCATCACATGATTTATTACTCCCCCACCGGGAACTTAAGGGGGGCTGTAGTTTGCGTCAATTCTGTCTGTCCCTATACTACAGTAAAACACGCTTACAAGAAACTCGCTTACAATGAATTCAGTGATTTTGTAAGTCCCCTTAGGTGTCTTTATATGAAAATCTAAAGTGTATAATGAATTATGCTTATAACAAACTAAAAATCATGGTCCCCAGAGATTTGTTATAACCGTGTTTTACATAGTATTTCATACTGAAAACTTGGCATGTGGGCACACCATGGTAAAATGGTGTGTCTGGTACCAAAAGTAGGACACTGTGACCTTGATTGTGACCTTGTACCTCTGTAAAGAAAATCCTTGTTCGAGATCCAACTCCTATACCATTTCATAATGGAACTTCACAATTGGTATGTAGGTGCACCATGGTGAGACGGTTTGTCGTGTACCAAAAGTAGGCCATTGTGACCTTAACTTTGACCTATGTGGAAGAAAGAGCATGTCCAGGCTCATACGTTTTCATACTGGAAATTCAAACCTGGCATGTGGGTGCACCATGGTAAGAAAGTACACATGTATATGACACATACCAAAAGTTGGTCACTGTGACCTTGACTTTGACCTCGATCAAGGTATGCCCGGTGGGGGACGTAATTCTTCAAATCTTGTTTTCCATTTAATTATTATTGCTTCAAAAGAAATATGATGTTAAAAGCAATGCATACCAAATAGATGACAACACACAAAGAAGTTGATGAAATCATTTTAATAACAGTTAATGCATATGAAAATTTCTTTCAAAACTGTACATTTAATTTTCCTGTAAGAATAAATGCCATTTTGTTATTATACATTGTTTCCTGTTTTTTTTTCACCTCTAATACTGAAAAATGTTACTGACCCGTTTCATTAAACCTGCTCCTTGAAAAATAACTTAGTTTTCTATATGGTAACATTAATTGCACTTCCTATATTTACGAATTTTACCAAACTCAACATGTTATTCTATGGAATTTCAAGTTAGGTTTAAAAATAAATGCACAATATTGTATTATTGAGAAACTATTGATGAAGGAGGAAATGATGTTCACTGCCTTTAAAAGTGATCTGAACCAAGAAAATGAATTCCTGTAGATGCAGGCAGTGGTTTTAGTAATGATAAATAATCCTATTATCTGGAAATTATGATTGATTTTTTATAGACATTTACTTATTTACATCATTTGGATTTTGCATCAGACACTGTGTATTGTACTTGACATTTCCAAAACTGTTTCTTCAAAAGAAATTTCAATGTGTTTAATGTCCAACATTTAATGTGAGAACAGGTACATTTAGTTT